CTCTTTAAAGTGGAAATCAGATCATATCACTCCCTTGCTTAGAATTCTTCAAGGGCTTTTTCTCACATTTAGAACAAAATCTAAACTCCTAATCCATGTCTACAAAGTTCTGCATGATCTTGCCTTCGGCTTCTTCTTTTACCATAACCCCTTTTCCCCTTTCTCCCTCATTCACTCCGCTCCAGCCACATTTGTTTTCTTGCCACTCCGCATACCCTCCTTGGAGCCTTTGTACTTGCTGCTACCTCTGCCTGGATTACTCTCCTCTCTGATCTTCGCATGGCTCACTTCTCAGTTTTCAAATACCAACCACCCTCTTGGCAAAGCTCCCTTAATAAGCCTACCTAAAATAGGACCCCTCTTTCACTTGCAATTCTGCTATCCCTTTTTATTTTTGTTAGGGCATTAATCACTATCTGGAATTTATTTACTTATTACATTACTTGAGGTTTCTTGTTTGTTTTAGTTTTTTTGCTAATTTGTGCTAATAAAATGTACATTCTTTGAGAGCAAAGCATTTTCTGTTTTGTTTCTGTATTCCCGAGCCAAGAACAAAATCAAGAACAGAGCAGATGTGCAATAAATATGTGTTGAAAAAATGAATTACACCCTACTGAAAACCACCTCATATACTAAGAAACTCAAAATATGAATTTTGGGATAAGGGAGAGAATAAGATTTGGATGGGGTGGGGTTTGTTTTGAAGCAGAAGAAGAAAGAAAGGTTTCAGTGGGACTCCCTGGAGAGAGAAAGTCTGCTGAGCAGGGGCAGCCAGCTCCAAAGAATGGGTGACCTGTGATTCCCTAACCTCAACAGTGTCCAAGCACAGGCCTTCGGCAGTGGAAGCCCATTGCCTTGTACCCTCTGAGAGTTTCTCTCAGGTCCTTGAGGTTACTTTAATTTTAGGGACACTTTGTGCTTCAAATTTCATTGCCTCCAACTTAATTATTGGCACAAAATCTTTGAATCCATAATTAAAGATAAAAAGGTTTTAATTAGTAGTGGCAGAAGAATAGGATATAGCTTAATTTAAAAAATGGTGGGTCCACATACCTCATGTTTATGGTCAATTGATTTTGTGAGGGGAGGAAACAATTTAATGGGGAAATAATATTATTTTCAACAAATGGTGCTGAGATAACTGAATATTCATGGGCACAGGAATAAAATTGGATCCCTACATCAAACCATTCACAAAAATTAACTCAAAATCAATCATAGACCTAAATGTAAGAGCTAACAGTTTATAACTCTTAGAAGAATGCATAGTGGTAAATCTTTATGACCTTGGGTTAGGCAGTGCTTTCTTATGTGTGATACCAAAGCACAAATGACAGAAAAAAATAGAAAAATTGAACTTCATTAAAATTAAAAAGTTTTGTGCTTCAAGGGACAAATGTAGAGTGAAAAGATAACCCACAGAATGGGAGAAAATTTTTGCAAATCACATATCCAATAAGAAGTTTATATTCAAAATAACAGACGTGGCTCACACCTGTAATCCCAGAACTTTGGGAGGCCAAGGTGGGCGGAGCACCTGAGGTCACGAGTTCTAGACCAGCCTGGCCAACATGGCAAACCCTGTCTCTACTAAAACTACAACAATTAGTTGGGTGTGGTGACATTAGCCTGTAGACCCAGCTACTAGGGAGGCTGAGGCAAGAGAATTGCTTGAACCCAGGAGTCAGAGATCACAACACTGCACTCCAGCCTGGATGACAGAGGAGACTCCATCTCGGGAAAAAAAAGAAAAGAAAAGAAAAATCCCAAAATATAAGAAAGAACTCTTACAACTCAACAATAAAAAGACCTATAACTCAATTTGAAAATGGGCTAAGGATTCAAACAGACATTTCTCTAAATAAAATATACAAATAGCTGATAAGCACATGAAAAGATGCTAAAAATTATGAGTCATTAGAGAGATGAAAATAAAAATGAGATATCCACCAGAATGGCTGTAATCAAATAGATGGATTCTAACACGTGTCAGTGAGGATGTGAAGAAATTGGAACCCTCAAATGTTGCTGGCGGGAATGTAAAATGGAGCAGCTGCTTTGGAAAAGGTTAACCCAGCAATTCCATGGCTAGCAGTTCTACCCAAGAGAAATAAAAACACATGTCTACACAAAAACTTGTACATGAATGTTCAAAGCAGCATTATTCTTAATAACCAAAAATTAGAAACAACTCAAATGGTCATCAGCTGATGAATGAATAAAGAAAATATGGGATACCCATACAATGAAATAATATTTGGGCAAAAAAATGAATGTAATGTTGACAAATGCTACAATGTGGATGAGTCTTGAAAACACTACGTGAAGTGAAAGAAGCCAGTCACAAAAGGCCATATATTTATGATTCCATTTATATGAAATCTTCAAGACAGGCAACCTAGAGAGAAAGTAGATTACTGGTTGCCTAGGGCTGAATGGGGAATAATGGGGTCTTGAGGATGTGGTAGCTAAAGGGTATGAAGTTTCTTTCTGCGGGGTACAAAAAGTTCTAAACTTAGATAGTGATAGTGGGTGATAACTCTGTGAACTTACTAAAAACCATTGAATTGTTTATTTGTTTATTATTTATTTATTTTTGGAGACAGAATCTTGCTCCATCCCCTAGGCTGGAGTACAGTGGTGCAATCTCGGCTCACTGCAACCTCCCCTTTCCGGGTTCAAGCAGTTCTCATGCCTCAGCCTCCTGAGTAGCTGAGATTATACGCACATGCCACCACACCTGGCTAATTTTTGTATTTTTAGTAGAGATGGGGTTTCACCATGTTGGCCAGGCTGGTCTCGAACTCCTGACCTCAAGTGATCCATCTGTCTCCCAAAGTGCTGGTATTACATGCATAAGTCACCATCCCCAGCCTGAACTGTATACTTTAAATGGGTGAATTGTGTAGTATATGAATTACATCCCAATTAAGACTAATAAAAAATATATATAATTAAAAATACTGGTTTTAGTATCACTTTAGTATCGTGTTCCTCCAGCTTCTTTTGCTACACGAGTAGATGCCAGGCTAGAGAAAACAAAATACTGCCCTTAAGCACCTTGACTCACAGTGAAGTGAAGAAGCCACACACAGAAACAGATCAACTGAAACTCAAACACAGCACTCCAGGAGCTGAGAAAAATGCCCCAGGTGTTAGAGAGGACTCTTTAGAGGAGGGGTATTTAAACTAAAATATGATGGACAAGTAGAAGTTTGCTACACAATGAAAGAGAAATCCCGCCTGGGCAACGTGGCAAAACACCATCTCTACAGAAAATACAAAAATTACCCTGGCATGGTGGTGCACACCTGTAGTCCCAGCTATGCAGAGGGCTGAGGTGGGAGGATTACTTGAGCTTAGGAGGTTGGGGCTGCAGTTGAGTCGAGATCACACCACTGCACTCCAGCCTGGGTGACAGAATGAGACCCAGCTCAAAGAAAGAAAAGAGAAGAGAGAAGAGAGAAAAGAAAAAAGAGAAAACAAAAGAAGAAGAAAAAGAAGGTGGGGGAATTCGAGGTTCAGGGAACAGTGCATGTGAAGGCACAAAACCAGAGGAAAGCCTGGAGTGTTCAGACAGTAGTAAATTGATTTGGCAAGAGGGTGGGTTGGCTGGGGGAGTGGTGAGGGATTAGGCAAAATGGTAGGCAAACCTCCCCTGGAGGACCTTGCATGCCCTGTTAAGAAATCCGAGCTTTTCCCTTAGAGGCAAAAAGGAGCCTGTGAAAGACAATCAGCTTCTCAAAAGGAAGGTAACTCTGCAAACAGTGCAGGACAGAGCTGAGCAAGGAGATAGCATGCTTCTTTATACTTTTTTATTTTTCTTTTTTTGCTTTTTCGCCCAGGCTGGAGTGCAATGGCACAATCTTGGCTCACTGCAGCCTTCACCTCCTGGGTTCAATCAATTCTCTTGCCTCAGCTTCCCGAGTAGCTGAGATTACAGGCATGAGCCACCACAGTTGGCTATTTATTGTATTTTTAGTAGAGATAGGGTTTTGCCATGTCAGCCAGGCTGGTCTTGAACTGCTGGCCTCAAGTGATCTGCCCACCTCAGCCTCCCAAAGTGCTGGGATTACAGGTGTGAGCCATGAGCCTGGTCTACTACTTTTTCTACTGTCTTTTTCTTTCTGCCAATCCCTCCACTCATGTGGCACTGGCCTTTATTACCTTTAATTGTATACATTCTGGAAGCAGATGATACCCATGCAGATATTTTTTCTAATTCAGTCACTCATGTGGGAATAAACCACACAAGATGACATGTCAGCACAGCTACATGTGCTTCCTAAAGATCAACATGACCAAATTGCTTATTTTCTTAAAAAAAAGAAAAAAACTTCATTTACAGGAGATTAATTAATTGAGATATTAAGGTAGCATCTTTGAGGGATGCAGTGAAAAAAATGGCCCCTGGTGGTCTAGCTTAGGCTTGAACATAGATTTTGCTGTGTGACCTTGGCAAAATCATGACATCTTTCTAGCTTCAATCTCATCATCTACAAAATTAAATGGCTGGAAATGAAATCAGTGATTCTGGAACTTACCTAATGACAAGCATCTCCTGTAGTTCTTGTCCCTACTCCAGACCCATTGGATCAGTATTTCTGGGAGAGGGCCCTTGGGAATTGTATGTTTAACAAGTGCTTTCTAAGGTTTCTCCCAGGTGCTGTAATCCCAGCATTTTGGGAGGCCGAGATGGGAGGATTTCTTGAGGCCAGGAGTTCAAGACCAACCTGAGCAACATAGTGAGACCCTGTCTCTATAAAAAAATTTTTAAAAATAAAGTTAGCTGACTGTGGAGGTGTGCACCTATAGTTCCAACTACTCAGGAATCACTTGATTCCTGTAGGAGAATCACTTGAGCCCAGGAATTTGAGGCCGCTATAATCTATGATCACACTACTGCACTCCAGCCTGGGCAACAGAGTAAGACCCTGTCTCTAAAAATAAAAAAATTAAAAAAAAAAAAAGTTCCTCACAGCTCTGATTCCATCTTTCAGTGATGCTGGCTTACAGGAGGACAGAAGCCTGACTGAACTGAAGATTCCCTAGATGCCGCAGCTGGAGTGCCACTGCCAGGATGTTTGTTGGAAGTGGAGGGTGAAAGTTTGTATAAGGATGGCGATTTATATACTGAAAATGTGTGACAGTGTCATGACTCCAAGAAGAAGCAACAAAGCAATGGCTCCTCCATTTCTTCCTTGCCTCCCTCTGCTAACCCCGAACATCCCCCTTCAGAGAAATGGGCACTGGAGCATAGAGGAAAGACTTCCAAAGTAACGAGGAATGTTTTCTAAATGATGGTGTTGTGCTTTGAAGAAACAGTGATGTCATTCAGTATTCTTCTTCCAAAGAGAGAGCCTGTTCTTTTGGTATTTCAGTTCATTTAGAATGGTGTCACTCATTAGGGTCTCCCAAAGGCTCCATTCAAAACAACGTCTTTAAGTACCCACTTGAGTGCCATGAAGCCATTAAAATAGGCATCATTTCCACTCCATCTAAGCTTTCCATCAGGGTGGACAAACATGTTAAAGGGCAGACAAACAGAGCTACACAACATTGAGAGAAACAGAAACAAATGGAGACCCTACCTCGCAAATAAATACAATGTTAAATACTGACATTCTGAACAGGGATTATTACTTGTACTTATGTTCTGGGTTTTAAGATGGTTGGAGCCAGGCCAGGGGTACATGATTCACCACCCAAACAGATTGGATTATTTCCTCTCTCTCCTTTCATCTTGTCTCCAAATTTGGGGTTTTAAAAATGCATTCAATAAACATTTATTAAATTTCTTCTATTTTCTAAGCGTTACATACCAGGGATACAAAAAATAAGACACATTTCTCCCTTCTGGGGACTTGGCAATGACAAAAATCAGAAAAACGGAAGAAGAACTTTTCATTAAGAAAGTATTAGGGACCCTTCCTATGAATGTAAGAGACCCAGACTCCAAATAAGCATATAAATGTGTAGCTTGCCATCTAAATCAACTTGGCCTCCAAGTTTTACCCAAGATTAGTTAAAAGCCCAAGTTAGTTTATTCCGTGGGAATTGCCTTAATTGTCTTATTTTAAATTAACTGAATTCTTCTCTGTGGGTCAGATGAGTTCATCTTATTTTGACTGGAAGCTCTGTATTGGTAGGAAGCAGCTGGCCTAAGTAGATCAGCACTGTGGCTTGTATACATGTGGATACGGATGGCTAATGTCACTCTTTCAGGCATTTTTAGAAATGAAAGATTCTGGATACAATTCTATCAGGAGAGTCCCTGAGTCCATGTTCAACTTTTCTGACTTTAGAGATCATCTCTTAGCAATAGCTGAGTCGCTAGTGTATTGGTTCCTCTGAAGATCTGTTATGAAAATAGTTAATAAGCCAGGGCAGAGAAAGTGGACCTGTAATCCTCAAAACATTTCCTAAGGACATAACAACTTCCACAAACCAACATTTTCATACCACCTTTTATACCAATGTGCTCACAGCAACAAGCTGCCTACTGAAGATTGGGTATATTTGGTCAAGGGTATAATATACATCTCTTCCATATGTTGGCTGAACATTTATAGGCCTATCACTTAGTTTTCTGAGATGTAATTTGGTTTCATTTGCTGTCTGAATTCTAGATTTGCTTCATACCAAGTAATAAGTTGGATTTTATGCCAGCATTATCCAAAGGTCTTCCCTAACCCCTCCAAGATGGATAAGATATTCTTCTCTGAGCCGGGCGCAGTGGCTCATGCCTGTAATCCCAGCACTTTGGGAGGCTGAGGCGGGTGGATCACGAGGTCAAGAGATCGAGACCATCCTGGTCAACATGGTGAAACCCCGTCTCTACTAAAAATACAGAAAATTAGCTGGGCATGGTGGCGCATGCCTGTGATCCCAGCTACTCAGGAGGCTGAGGCAGGAGAATTGCCTGAACCCAGGAGGCGGAGGTTGCGGTGAGCCGAGATCGCGCCATTGCACTCCAGCCTGGATAACAAGAGCGAAACTCCGTCTCAAAAAAAAAAAAAAAAAAAAAAAGGATATTCTTCTCTGAGCCTTTGCATTTCAAAATACCCTTTGCATTTCATTATCACCACTTTCCCCTCATTTAAAAAATTTTTGTTTTGAAATAGTCTCACTCTGTTGCCCAGGCTGGAATGCAGTGGCATGATCGTAGCTCACTGAAGCCTTGATCTCCCAGGCTCAAGTGATCCTCCCACCTCAGCTTCCGGAGTAGCTGGGACTACAGGCGTGTGCCACCATGCCCTGCTAGTTTTTGTATTTTTAGTAGAGACAGGATTTCATCATGTTGCCCAGGCTGCTTTCTTTATTTTCTAATGCCTAAATTTGGCAGACATTTTTCCCTTTGCTACAGGATGAGGAATACTTGTATTCAGAGAATAATCTACACACACAGAGAAAGAGAGAGACTATGACGTCTAGCTGGTTACCGTTAAAACAATGATTCTGACACTGAAAAGGAATTCAATATGCAACTAGCAGACATTTGACCCTAAACAAATTGTATGTATGTTACAGTCAAGTCAAAACTGGAGAAGGAAGAATGAGGCTTATTTCTTGAAAGGAGGTGTTTCTTGTGGGTGAAAATAATTCCTCAGGGAGTCCTGTGAAAATGGCAGGGATTTCATCCAAAAAGTCAATTATCAGGACAGGTTAAAGCAGATTGGAAGAATTATCAGACCTTCTACCAGGCCTAACACAGAGCAATGTATGTTTTCTTGTTATAGAGTATGTAGGTGTCTTTGCTTGCTGATTACATTTCTGTTTTTGTTTTTGTTTTTTTTTTTTTTTTTGAGACGGAGTTTCACTCATATTACCCAGGCTGGAGTGCAATGGCGCAATCTCGGCTCACCGCAACCTCCGCCTCCTGGGTTCAGGCAATTCTCCTGCCTCAGCCTCCTGAGTAGCTGGGACTACAGGCACGCACCACTATGCCCAGCTAATTTTTTTTTTTTGTATTTTTAGTAGAGACGGGGTTTCACCATTTTGACCAGGATGGTCTCGATCTCTTGACCTCGTGATCCACCCGCCTCGGCCTCCCAAAGTGCTGGGATTACAGGCTTGAGCCACCGCGCCCGGCCTACATTTCTGTTTTAAATTAAAAAATTGAGAGCTTCCCTTGGCTGCTTCTGAGCCAGCAGACTGCTCAGCAGGATTGCAGAAGGAGGTGAGATTCTACCCAGGGTGACTATCCTCTGATCTGCTGTTCTCAGACTCTGCTGACCTCAGATCTCAAGTCATTCTTGCCACTTCTACTAATAAATACTAATAAAAACATACTGACCTTGTGCGTGTTTCCGGGCACCAGGTGACGCAGCCTGTCCCCTGTTCCACTTATTGAATGCTGCTCAGAAACTACGCTGGATTTGCTCAGAGGGCCTCAGCTATGACTCAGAGAAAATGGTCTAATTTCCTTACATGTTTGATGCCAAGGCATGGCTTGGTAAAAAGAGGATTATGCCAGACCAATGTTATTTCCTTTTGTGCTAAAGGGACAGGATATATGGTGGTAGGTGGTGGAGGGTGGAGGGTGGAGGGTGGGGCAAGTGAACCAGCCCATGTGAAGATAAATAAAGCAGTTGATCCTGTGTTACACCATAGTCTAAGCAAGGAGCTGATATACTGGCAATACTATTAGCCTTTTGCAAATTCCTCAGCAGTGATTATCAGTGGTTCCCTATCTACCTAAGGATACCTAAGGATTGTTCTTTATCAGCAACTTAGATGAAAATATTAAAAGTGCTCACTGAATTTGGAGAGAGCACTCATTTGTAGGGAGTGGATGATATCAATTCGATTGTTTATTTCAACATGATTTTGAAACATCAGAAAATGTATCCATTAATAATAAAACTTGCTTTTAATCTCAGCAGAGACAAATGCACATTAAAAGTTTTAGAAATTAGAAATATAGACTCAAGATGGCATTAGGCTGAAGAGCCATAAATGCAGAAGAAAGTGCTTCCAGTCAGAGTGGACCACAAACGGAATGAGTTAGCAATATAGTCATATAATTAAAACAATTCCTTGTGGCTCAAGGATAAATTAAAGAAAGTATGCCATGCAAAGACAAGAAATCATCTCTTCATGGTGTTTAGAATTATGAACAGTTGGAGTTTATTTTTTATGATTTCATTTCTTAAAAAGCAAATATTCTAGAGAAATACAATCACAATGATGATAGGGATGACAAATAGAAGAAAGACAAAAGTAATAACTTCACACTTGAGATGTTGCTGAGGCCCTGCTTTCAGTGCCTGTTACCTGAGATAGCATCATTGGATCTTAAATGTTATTTTGGGGGCTTTTGACAGGATCAAATTTTACAACTTTGGAACTCAGTTTTATTGAATAATGAAAAAATAGGCTGAATAGCTAAAATTAGCCACTAATTATTTGCAAAGCACTCCTCTATCAGGTTCTCCTCATGCTTGTCCTACTTTTCTTTGTCCCTAGCTGAAGACAAAAAAAAAAAAAAAAAAAGTAGAGACTATTTATCTTTTTAAACAACTTCAGAGTCACAGCAGCACTTTCTGCCCTGAAATTCAGGCTTCTTTGGTATTGATTCTAAACAATTACTGCTCTTGACTAAAATGCTAAGCCATAAATAAGGAAAGCAGTAAACCTGAGGCTCTCCACTAATATATCTGGCAATTAGATACTCCCAGGATTGCTAGACTTAGGAACAAATTCAGGGGAACTGAGCTGGCCTGGGTGAGAGGTGCCTTTTCTGGCTTCTCCGGTGCCCTTTGCTTCCCTCCCCTGTGCCATTCTGGACACTTTCATACTGTCCTCTTCTGCTTACAAGATTATGTTCCAGATCAGTGCTTCTCAAACATCACTGTGCATTCAAGTCACCCTGGACCCTTGTTAAAATGCAGTTCCTGAGTCAGTAGGTTCGAGGTAGGGCCTGAGAGTCGAAGTTTCTGGTGTGCACTTGGGAGAAGTCAAGACTGAGTCTGGTGACCTGCACTTGACTGAGCAGTAAGGCTAACTCCTTGAAAGCTGGAGGGCAAGTACCTCGCTCTTTGTTTCTTTTTTTTAAAACTTACTATTGAAATATAACATATATACAGAAATGTACGGAAATTATCGAAGCTCAATGTATTTTCACAAAGTAAACACATCTGTGTAACTAGCCCTTGTATCATAAATTAGAATATTGGCCAGGCATGAGATCATGCCTGTAATCCCAGCACTTTGGGAGGCTGAGGCGGGTGGATCACTTGAGGCCAGGAGTTTGAGACCAGCCTGGGCCACATGGCTCTAAAAATACAAAAATTAGCTGGGCATGGTGGCATGCACCTGAAATTCCAGCTACTCAGAGACTGAGGCATGAGAATCACTTGAACCCAGGAGGTGGAGGTTGCAGTGAGCCGAGATCGTACCACAGCACTCCAGCCTGGGTGGAAGAGTGAGAATCTGTCTCAAAAAAAAAAAAACAAAACAACAACAACAAAAAAAACAAACTAGAATATTACCAGCACCCAGAGCCCTCCTTATGCCTGATCTAGTCACTACTTTTCCCCAAAGGTAAATGGAATCCGATCTCCCTCACTTTTGCTATTATGAACACACGTGTGCATGTCCCTTCATTCATGTGTGTATG